GATTTCTGAAAATTGAGCCACTGGTATCTTTTGAAATTTGGCTGTATATTCCAGGGAAGAAAAAACTGGAGCTTCCATATAAAATAAATAAATAAATAAATAGTCACAATTTAAAAACCAACAGCTTTTAAAAAGTAAACTGGCCATATCCTAATAAAATGTTAATAATACTATTCCACAAGTTAAAAATTTAGCTATTATACTGAAACTTCATACATTTATCCAGAAAGTTCTTTACTTTGGAGCAAGATTCAAAAGGGGGAAACGTGCTTTTGGAAGCTACAGTTACATGGCTCAGTGTGTATATCAGTCAGTTTTCCTGAGTTCAGATCTTCACTTTGTCATTGTGACCCATGTGCTTTGGGCAAATTACTTGCCTTCTGTGATTCATGTGCACCATCAGTAAAACTCTAATCACTGCCATCGACTTGATTCCAAGTCATAGCAACCCTACAGGACAGAGTAAAACTGCCATCGCAGGGTTTCCAAGGCTGTAAATCTTTACTGAAGCAGACTGCTTTATCTTTCTCCCATGGAGTGGCTGGTACGTTCAAATAGCTGACCTTTTGGATGGCAGCTGAATGCATTAACCACTGCACCACCAGAGCTCCTATCAGTAAAACAGGATGGTACAATAATAGATAACCCATGTAAAGAATTTAGAAACATGCCTGCATGTTATCTGGCCCTCAGAAAGAGTTCATTATTTGCACTTTAAAGAACGGCTTAATCTCTACTGAGGTCAGTTACATATTTTATAACTCCAATCTTCTGCATTTCTCCTAAAGGGGTTTTTGTGACATATCTTTATTACCTATATGCCAATTCTGGTTAAGAACACTGGTGTAATTTATTTGCATGCTTTGTAAATATTGTACTAAATTCTGACTTACTAATAAGTGAGAGGATTAAGTAGTATCATTACATCTTATTATTCTATTACATTATTCATAAAGACTGAGTAAATTTCCAGTAAATATTAGCCAAATAAATCTATTTCGGCTTTCTTCTAGTAAGTTAGAACTGTAGATTGGAGATAGAAAAATGAAATTCAAACTTGCTTAAACATTATAGTAATCTATCTATTTTGTTTAAGTTTTAACCAAAATTATTCTGGTCAAGAGAATCCAGGGATATTTTTTCTCTCTTCTTCATGCTCCTGGCCCTATAGTATAATTAGCTTCACTCTCCTCTTAGTTATCTAATGCTGCTATAACAGGAAGACCACGAGTATGTGGCTTTAACAAACAAATTTATTCTTTCACAGTTCAGGACTCTGAATTCAGGGAGCTGACTTTAGGCTGAAGGATTTCTCTCTTGGCTCTGAGGCAAGGTTCCTTGATTTCCTGGAGATCTTCATGTAGTGTAGTGTCTGTCTATCTTCCCCATCTCTGCTTGCTTGTCTATTCTTTTATATCTCAAAGGAGACTGACTCAAGACACACCCTATACTATTCCTTCCTCATTAACATTACAAAGACAGCCCATTCCCAAATAGGTTTATGACCACCCACTCAGTAGAGGTTAGGATTTACAAGACACACTTTTTGGGAACACAGTTCAATCCATAACAACTCTTGAACATTTTCAAATTATTTTAAGCAGTTTACATTAACGATATATATAAAATAACCAGGCTGATAAAATAATTTCAAAGTGTAGAGAATTACATGAACAACTTAGTCCTGCAGTTCTTAACAACCTAGGCAAAAATAAAAACATAATGTAATTCCTACTGCTTGACTCATATCTAAACAGAATTTTCTAGGTGATAAATTCAAAGAGATGTTTATCTAATGTTTCTTAAACCTAAGAATATACATCTATACAGTAGTACCTTCAATACTTTTATAGTGCATGCAAAAATTAATGATAACCATTTATGTTTTCTATATACTAATATTAAACTTAAATGTTTTTTTTTAAAAAAAATGTGAAAATACTACTAAATCCTTTAGAAAACCTGAAGCTAGAATATTGATTCTCTAATTCCAAATTCAGCTTTTTCCCACTTGTTTTACTATGCTCTATATTATACTCACCATACATAGACGAGTATTTGACCTTAGGAATAACACATACACACATGCATAAAACTTCCATAACACACACCATATATACATCTTTGTTTATACCAACAATCCTGCTGAAAAATGAGTCCTTTCAGTAAACAAAAATAATTCCATTAATTAAACTGTTAGATCCATACAGCATCTGTGGAGCTGATATTTTGCTACATTTTGGGTCAGTTACCCTTGAACATTTCTCATAATACATTATGTCACGATTTTTTTTAAGTTTCATGATATTTCTTCCAACCACTATGTGTCATTCATTGCATAGAGTATTTGAAAAATGAATAAAATAAACCTACAATGAAAGCAAATCTGGGATTTCAATTTAATACTAGCCATCAAAACTCTGTATCAATACACAATAAAATAGAATTTACTCTTCTTTTGCAACATGTATTCAGTTCTTCTGGTAGTGTAGTGCCTAAGGTACTTGACTGCTAACCAGAAGGCTGGCGGTTCAAACCCACCAGCCACTCCTCAGAAGGAAGACGGGGCAATCTACTTCCGTAGTGATACTGCCTCGGAAACCCAAGGAGGGGTCGCTATGAGTTGGGTCTGACTCAACAGCACATAACAACAACAACATTCAGTTCTGAATGCTAAGAATATTAATTCTATTAAGTACATCAAAACAAAGCATGGATGAAAAACAGTAGACCTCAGGGGTATACCACTAGCTTTCAGTCATCAGAAAGAACATCAACAATTCAACAAATAGACTCCCAAGACATCCGTCCTGTTGGTACACTTAGAACACCAAAAAACTGACAATCTGTTTCAATTATCTTTAACTAAACTGTTTTAGACCAAAAATAAGTTTTGAAATACCAATTCTTCTCTTAAAGCAAATCAATTCTTTGAAATGGATATCAAAGAAAGTATAACCAAGTAGTTAATTCATGTGATTATGGCACTAACAAGGCAGCTCTGGTAGGGTAGGGCCAAAGGCACTTAACTGCTAACCAGAAGGCTGGCAGTTCAAACCTACCAGCCACTCCTCAGAAGGCAATCTACTTCCATAGTGATACCACCTCAGAAACCCAAGGAGGGGTCGCTATGAGTTGGGTCTGACTTGATGGCAAATAACAACAACAATGGCACTAACAATTCCCTAAATCTTGAGCTTTATGATACCATCTTCCTCAGCCTTGGGTCAATCAAATAATTTAAATTAGTGGTTCTTAGAGTGTTTTCTCTGGACCATCAGCATCAGCATCACCTGGGAACTCATTAGAAATGTAAATTCTTGGTCCCACACAGACTTACTGTATTAGATTTTCTGAGGTGAGGCCCAGGATTCAAGTTTTATTAAGTTTTCCTGGTAACTCTGATGCTCTGAGCTATATGAAGGGCTCCTCAAAAATGATTCTCCTCAATGTTTCTACAAGTATATTTGTATGTTCTGTAAGAATTCCCAGGTTTATAGTAGAGGTGACAAGGGACAAGGCTGTAGTCACTTCTTGGTCACAGTCAGCTACCCAGAGGAAGCAAGTAGTTGAATCTGTAGGCTCAGGACCATAGTCGCAGGAGACATCAAGCTCAACTGGCGTAATATACTATACAAAACATTGTTCCACCTCCTACTTTGGCAAGCAGCAACCGGGATCTGGAAAGCTTTCAAGCAGCCATCTAGATGCAACAATGGGTCTTCTCTCTTTGTCCAGAGCAAAGAAGAATGAAGAAAACCAAAGATTCATGGAAGCAATTAGTTCAAGTGACTGGTACACCATGCGATTCTTAGCCTATACAATGATGGGACCAGAAGAACTAGATGGTGCCTGGCTACCACTGTCAACCACTCAGAGGGGGATCTATAAGGAGTTTCTGGATAGAGTGGGAGAAAAATGTGGAACAAAATTCAAAAGCATTGAAAAAAAAAAGGGCCAAGTTTGCTGGTCAGATAGAGCCTGGTGGAACCCCTGAGACTGTGGCCCCTAGCTGCCCTTCAGGTCTGCAATTGAACCACTCCTGTGGCTTCCAGCCAAACAAAAGACAGGCCTAAGAGCTGAACATTTACAATAGGAAGATACACTCCTTGGAGAGATCAATAGAATAGAAGGGATGTGTATGCACAGGGAGACAGCTCAAAGGACAGGAATGCATGGGAGGGAAGGACACAGGGAAGAGGTAACTATGGGGAGGAAGTGGGAAGAGAGCTGATGCATTGTGGGAAATCACAGTCAATGTAAAGAGACAAAGTCTATGTGAATTGCTGTACGGAAAATGAATTTGCTCTGTAAACTTTCACTCAAATCACAATAAAAATTAAAAAAAAAAAAAAAAAAAAAAGAATGATTCTGCCAGTCTGAATACTATACAGCAGGTGACGCTGCCATACAAGAGCTGAAGAGAAATTGTATGTTCACTGGAGGTCCAGGCGCCAAAGGAGACTCTCTGACCTAATTCATGGCAGCCATAATTTGCTGCCTCTTCTATAACCAGAAAACACAGTTTAAGGTTCTACTTCACCAGACTCTCTAAGGCCTCTCAGAACACTCCCATGGGGTTTCATTCCCCAGTTAGAAGAATCCTGAGCTAACACCACTGTCACCTTGAATTAGTGCAGATATGGAGAATAGCTAACCGTGTTTCTCCATATTGTATTAAAACAGGTCATGGAGGAGGAAGTGCTAATGTCACTGTATTTTTAAAATATCTCTGCAGTAACAGCAGGGCCAGTTCTCAAGTACTCAATAAATAAAATTTTAATTCTTAAAAGAAAGAAAAGAAAGGCAAGCTCTTCTTAAACTAAGCTGTCATTCACTCAGAGCAGAAACACTGCTAGCATTCTTGGTATGTGCTTCTACCTTAATACAGCTCTCTGATTAAAGCAAATATTTTATTCCTCTCTCCTACAAAGAGAACTTTATTTTACTTCTCTCTCCTACACATCTTTCACAGGGAATTTATCTATCTGTCTGTTTACCTCCTTCAGATCCTGCACGACTGCTGTGAGCCGCTCATTTTCTGCCTGTACGTTAGTGACCACAGCCCGGCTCTGTTTCAGTTCATTCTGCATCTCCAAGATCTTCCCCAGATAGTAGGCCTCCTTAGATGCTGACTCTTGCAGAAGTGTTTCCTCCCGAGTCTCTCCATCCTCAGCAACTTTACGATGGATAGAAAAAGACTGTCCAAATGCCTGCAGAATATTTGAATAGAAAAAAGTGTACAATTAAATGCACATAGCACTATTAAATAGATATGGAGAAATGTTTTGTTTTGCATTGTTCGTAAGAAATGCTATTTTGCAAAACTTCCAGATGTGGCAATATATATTGTATGTGACAGGGTAGCAGCTCTAATAGAGGTTTGAAATAATTCAAATTCAAACCATAAAGAGAAAACAAACATTTAAGATATCTTCGTAAAATAAAAAAAAAACATATTGAGTTAAAAAAAAACTTGAAAAACATGGTTTGTTGTTTTATGTCATCTTTTTAAAGAGAGATCTTAAGATATAGAACAGTTCAGTGCTAATGAGCTCATCCAAAGTCATGCTGTCATCTTCATTCCAGGAAAAATAATCCCAAAATTATTTTTCAAGGAAAAATAAATCATCTCTTTAGCTCTCTAATACATTAGCAATAAGCACAGACCAATTATGAACAGAGATAAAACCATCAAAGAGCATTCACATTGCCTAGTGTTATAAAAAGGCATTTAAATGTAGTATCTGTTTAGGAAAACATATACTTCTCTGCTCATTTGTACAAAGAGAATACAGGAAGGATATCCAGAAACAAATAAAACTGGCTGTCTCCAGGGGGTGTGGGAATGGGGTAAAGGAATGGGGAAATGAAACAGAATAGAGGGGTGAGGGAGGAGTGACAGTTCTGAGTATTTATGCCTTTTCATAAGAATCATCAGATTCTTAGAACCATATTATTTCACACGCTACCCCCCCAAAAAAATAATTAAAATAAATCACTGTGTGTGGGGCACTCAAAACAAAATACAAACAGCAAATGAACCTAACTGTGTTAGAAATGAATAATAAAGTCACACTGAAAAGGATGGGAAAGAAAAGAACCAACCTAAATAATTTTGGAAGATAATATTTTTATTATATACTATAAAGCTAAAAGGAGCTATGGGTGCAAAGTGCTTAAGTACAAGATGTAGAGAAAGCTGTGGCAGCCTGCTTCTGTAAAGATTACAGACTTGGAAAACCTATGGGGCAGTTTTACTCTGTCCTACAGGGTCACTATGAGTCAGAATCGATTTAATGGCAACAGGTTTTTGTTTTAATAAGGCCAAAGAAAGAAAGAACTATACGCAAGTACTATATTCTAGTTAGTAAATATGTTTCTCACAGAGATTGTGAGATTGAAATTCCAAAACTACATACTGTTGTTGTTGCTGTTGTTATGTGCCATTGAGTCAGACCCTACAGTAGTATCACTACGGAGTAGATTGCCCAACCTTCCTTCCGAGGAGTGGCTGGTGGGTTTGAACTGCCAGCCTTCTGGTTAGCAGTCAATTGTCTTAGGCACTACGCTACTAGAGCTCCCTTTTAAAGAGTACTGACCAGTTATTTTGTAGAATGTCCTTCAATTTGGGTTTGCCTTCCTTATGATTAGCACTGTGTGTCCATTTTTGGCAACAACACTACAGACTTGATGCTGTGCCTTTCTCAGTGCATCAGATGTTGATATGTCTCCTTGCTGATGAGTTAATTTTGGGTAACTTGGTTCAAGGTGGTATCTGCCTGGTTTCTTCACTAGGAAGTTACTGTTTTTCTATTTGGAATTAATAAGTCTTGTGCAGAGATGGTTTGAGACTGTGTAGATAGCCTGTTTCCCATAATACTTTGACCTGTTAATTTTATAATCCATCAATGACTCTTGCCTACAACAACTATTCCTGTGGTGTACACCACATGGGGTTATGTTTTATTTCCATCTTTTCTTCTACATTTATTAATTATGATTCTACTGTGAAAAGCTATCCTCTCTTCCTCCACTTATTTATTTGTTCACTGTGAACTCATCAGCATTTGTTTTATTCTATGGGTTTATTCAGATAGACTCCAATGTCCTTTTGACATATCTTCACTTTCTTTCTTTTTTAACTATTTTACACTTGGTATCACAATTTGTATTGCAGTTTCCTTATCACTTCTCCAGAGAGTTCTAGTTCTTTTTACTGGAGATTGTTATTAGAAACCAAAATCTGAGTGCTAGGTATGCTCTTTGCTACTGGTATGTCATTGCTTCTAGGCCCTCTTGGCTACGAAATAGGCTATCTATCTGAAACTATTAATTCACCTGATACTTCCAATTATAAGCCAATACTACTAACTGCCTTCTGTACTTCTCCCTATCCCTATTTGTGACTCCGTTCTCCAACACTGAGAAGCCTGATTCTTATTATCCTTAATATACTTATTTGATCAACCATAGAAGACAAGTAGGTCTCTGTATGGTGCAAGTAGTCTGTGATTGGCTCCTAATCTTAAGGTATAAAAAAACCTCACTGCCGTGGAGTCGTTTCTGACTCATAGTGATCCCTCCTTGGGTTCCTGGGGTAATAGCTCTATGGAAGTAGATTGCCCAGTCTTCCTTCTGAGGAGTTGTTGGTGGGTTTGAATATCCAGCCTTCTAGTTAGCAGTCAGATGCCTTAGGCACTACTACACCAGTCATTTGAATTCAGCCAACAGCAATTTTGGAAGAAAACACAAGGCAAACTGCTTCTGTAGATTACAGCCAAGAAAACTCTATAGTAAACAGTTATACTCTATAACAAATGGGTCTCCATGAATTGGAAAATTGGAATTGACTCAATGGCAACAAGTCTATCTATCTATCTATCTATCTATCTATCTATATATACACTGTAGTGTTTGGAGCTCTGGTAGTGTAATGCCTAAGGCACTTGACTGCTAACCAGAAGGCTGTCGGTTCAAACCCACCAGCCACTCCTCAGAAGGAAGGTTGGGCAATCTACTTCCGTAATGATACCACCTCGGAAACCCAAGGAGGGTTTGCTATGAGTTGGGGCCGACTCGATAGCACGTAACAACAAACAACTCTTTAAAAGTATTAAGGTCATAAAAGACTGAGAAAGTCTCCTCCAAACTGGAAACCAAAAAGATAACAACAATTCCGTGGGATCCTGGACTAAATCCTAGAACAGAAAAAAAAAGACATTCATGGGACAATTGGCAAAATGAGAGTATGTTCTTCAGAGTGATTAGTAGTTAGCAGTATTGTATAAATGTCAATTTTCACTTCCAAAATTGTACCATTGTTATGTTAAATGTTACCATTTGGGTAACCTGAATGAAGGGTATATGAAACTCAGGGTACAATTTTTGTAACTTATTTCTAAGGCTAAAAATACTTCAAAAATGAAAGTTTAAAAAGTAAATAAATAACAGCAAAAAAGAGAACACAGAGAGATGTACAAAGGTATAGACAACAAAGGCAAATACTATTACGTACACAATATTGCATTATCAGTAACAAACAACACTGCAGGTGGATACACAGGCAGCCAGGCGAGAAGATCAAGTGTGGGTAGGCGAATGGGAATATACCCACAACCACAGACAGATTCGGCTGATGATAATCTTACATGCGTATTTGTGCTACAAAAATATCCATATACATTATAGAACTAATAGGGGACAAGGCTGGGAAAACTTCTTAGCCACAACAAGCACCTTGAGGGAATGAGTTGCTGGGGCTGTGGGCTTAAGACCATGGTCTGGATGGGAAGGAGGGCATCAAACTCAATTGGCACAACATACTGCATAAAAACATTGCTCAACATGCTACTTTGGTGAGTAGTGTGACTGAGGTCTTAAAAGCTTATGAGTGGCTCTCTAAGACACAACTACTGTTCTCTCCCAGTATGGAACAAAGAAGAATGAAGAAAATAAAAAAATATGGAAAGAATCAGTCCAATGAACTAATGGACCATGGAAACCTCAGCCTTCATGACCCTGAGACCAGAAGAACTAGATGGTGCCTGGCTACCAATGCCAACCACTCAGAAAGGGATCAGAATTGGAGATCCTGGGTAGAACAGGAGGAAAAATGTGGAACAAAACTTAAAACCACAAAAATGACCAGAATCACTTGTAGGATAAAGACTGGTGAAACCCCTGAGACTATGGCCCAAGGTCACCCTTCAGGACTGGAAGTGGACTTACTCCATGGGTTAGCTCTCAGCCAAACAATGGAAAGGCCTATGACTAGAACACCTATCTGAGGGTGAAGTACCCCTTAGAACGGTCAACCATAAGAGATCAGAAATGCAGTATTTGCAAAAGGGGAGAGCTAGACAGACAGGAATGCATATGTAAGGACACAGGAAAGGGGTTACCACAGGCAGGAAATGGGAGGAGAGCTGTTTATTGTGGGGATTGTAATCAGCACCACGAAACAAAATGTATATGAACTGTTGAGTGTAAAATGATTCTGCTTTGTAAATTTACACCCAAATCATAATCAAACTTAAAAATTGGAAAAAAAAAAAAAAAAAGAAAGAAAACCAATGTCAGATTACCCAACAAACAAGGTAAGCATGGGTTTACCTGTACTTATTTTACTAATCTGTAGTGAACAATTTCATATTTTTTTTAGCATATCAAAGATTCTGATTCCAGGTATGGTTGGCATCTGTCTCTCTTACAACCCCACAGCATCTTCATACAGAATCAAAGGCTCTTTTCAAATTTTCCATCCCTGATGAAAATCCTGTGGGGCACAGTTTTACTCTGACACACATAAGGTCACCATGAGTTGGAATCAACTCGACAGCAACAGATATACTGGGAAGCATCAACTAAGAAAGAAATAATCCATTATAGATGTCCATCTGTACAGAGTGGAATACTCCTGGTACTTGGTTTGGTCCATCCCAGCACAAGAAGAAATTCTTATTTCTGTAGCCAGATTTCCACAGTTTGTAGTAAACATATAGGCTCAAGAATAGATGTTTACTTTGCTTCACCTTCAGTAATAATCAGATGCTGTGAAATACATATATAATGGAATACTACTCAGAGAGCAGGAGAAATGAAGTCTTGAAACATCCTACAATGTGAATGGAACATGAAGATATTATCTTGAGTGAAGTCAATTACCAAAGGACAGATATTATATGACCTCACTTACATAAAAAGACAGGAA